TTTTGGGTTATTCCCTTCCAATCTTTTTTTCTCCTTTTCTATCCATAAACATAAATACTTTAAATAAGGTCATGAACCCTCTGCATGTCTTGCTTTTGCTTACATTGCTGTGCATCTGAAATCCTTTCCCAGAGTCTATGTGCTTTTCTCCCTCCAGGGTTATTACTGGCACAGAGAAAGCTCAACCACTGTTCTCCTTTGACTGGACATTTGCATTGCTTTTGTGTTTATATTCTAACAATACTGTGCTTCCTCCAGCCAGCACTGTTCTCCTAGGAGAGAGGGCTTTTATTCTAGTCAACACTGTGTGTCCTTGGCCAATCCCAGGACCAGACTGGGTGGGTGACCCTCCAAGTCCCCTCAGAAGGCCTGGGGTTGGAGAGCCCTGGCACTTCTAAAGGTGAGCACCAGTATGGAGCCCAGCCAAGCCCTGCCAGGTCTGCTTTTGTTGTGCATAAAGAAAAGTTGCCTAGTCATTGTAGCTTGCAATTTGAGTAGTGGAGCCTGGGCACCTCCCAGAGCAGTGAGCACGGAGCTGCCTCAACAGCCCCTGTCAGCTCCTTCCCAGGGGCACTGTGCCAGGCTGGGTTAGGGTAGTGCTGTTGACGGCACTTTTAGAGCAACTGGGCTCCGCCTTGCACAGTCTGCAAGACAAGGTGGGGAGAGATCTTTACCCTCGTCCCCGTTTCTTGTAGCTCCTGGGTTTTCCTGAACAAGCCAGGGTAGTGGAGGTGACTATTATGTAGATATTGAAGATGCCTGTATTTGTTTTATTGTGGGGAGATGAAGTGGATTTTCTCCTGGGCGGTTGCTGAATAGCTGAAGTGAACGGTTACTGAGAAAGGCAGATGGAGGTGTCATTCCACTGTTCGGAGCCATAGCTCCTCCTGGGAAACACGAAGCCATTACTGCTGTCTCCCTCATACGGCTGGGTGGAAGGATCACTGAGGAGATTCATAAAACCAGAAACCCAGGTTAGCTGCCTTCCAAACACATAGCTTTTACTACCTCTCTCCCCACTCTTACCCCCAGGATTAGTGAGGGCATCCAGTTGGCCTCCTGTTCTGGTGACTTAGATGAGGCCTTGATAAAGCATTGCTTGGTGCTACTGTGCAAAACAGAAGAATGCTGCTGCTCCTGCTGCCGCTGGTTACCCATTCGGGACAGGGAAATGGTTTTGTCATCATTGTCGTTTTGATTTACTCATCCATTCCTTCATTCCTTCCATTTACCAAGGCCTATGTGCCGACGCTGTGTTAGATGCTGGGGGAGGAAGATGACCCTGTCTTTGTTCTTGGTTCTGAGGAGGTGACTGGTCACAAGCTGGCAGGGGCTGTGTGCACATGTTTCACTGTCCTGTGATCTGTACAAAAGAATTGCCTGCTGAGGCTTCAGATCAGGAAAGGCTCCAAAGAGGAGGTGATCACAGACAGCAAGTTTTGAAATAACGGTACTCTCTGCAACAAAACTGTGTCTCTGCCAAGCTGGCATAGGTAAGGGGAACTGAGATAATAAACGCATTTCAAATTTTAAAACACTAAATTGGAAAGCAGCAACAGCGTGAAGGGGAAAAGCGGGCTGGGTGTACACCCACCTTCTGCCGTGGGCCTCAGTTTCCCTGGTTGGCAGTGTCTTGGCAAGGTGCCCCTGAACCTCCCTCACCCTCCTTTGGCCTAGGGCTGAGAAAGCCCTCTGAGAGCCACATCTGTGAGGGTAACTGGGAGTAATTACAATAGGCGAAGCAGTCCCCTAACCCATCAATTACCCCCTCAACGGGAGCAATGCTGCTGTCATTTCAAAATGTTCAAAATTCTCAGGGGACCTAGAGGCTTTCTCCACGTCCAGAAGCCCAGAGGGAGGTGGCGTGAACAACTCTTGTCTCTGCTGCACTCTAGCTGGGTGAACTTGGACTGATTGCCTTAGGCTAGTTACTCAATAATCTGTTTCCTCATCTAAACAATGAGGTAACAGCATGTGTCTTCCAGCTGGTCAGGAAGGTGAAATTCACTCTATTCCTCAAATAGTCACATGCGCCTCTACTCTGTGCCACATTGTAGGTACAAAGAGGCTCAAGGAATCCTAGTTCCCCATGTGGGCATGAAAGTGTGTGTGTGCGTGTGTGCATGCACACGTTCACATGTGGTCATGTGATGTCAAGCATAGTGTCTGGAACAGAATAGCTGCCACCCCAGCCCCTGAGCCCATCAGGGTCAGTTGAGGACTAATGAGTAGCATTTGCATGTGTCGCTCCCACTTGCCAGCCCATGGGCCCATTATTTGTGGACTCCAAAGAACTCCAGGAGCATTAATTAATAACCTTACCTTCTCTGGCTGGAGTGCAAACAGCTCTTCACAGTCTCCTTTAGGGAGGGAGCCCACGCTAGTCAGGGCCCTGAATGCTGAGAGCCAGGGCTGCAAGGATGGAGGGGTGGGGAAGGCTGCCTCCCAGGTGTGTTGTGCCCTTTACAGGACAGCAGCCATCTTTTGGATGGGCTGGGGGCAAGTGTCAGAGTGAAAGCTGGGGCTTTCATATGAGGTCATTTTGAGAATTTGTGTAGTGATGCCAAGTGTTTATATATTTAATATGGAGCATTTTATTATTACTTTTAAACTCCTTTATATCACGATTAAGGCATTTTAAAATAGTGTGTGTAAGCAGAGGTCACAGTCTCTATGAATTCCAGGTAAGGACAGTAAAGGTAAAATTACAAAATGTTTGTTAAAAAGGAGTGGAGGCCCCTGGTACAGACCATACTTGGTAAATGGGGACTACTACCCACACAACTTTGCTAGAGTCCTCTTTCCTATTAGAGTCCTCTGGTGGGTGTCGTGGTCTAACAGAAGTCAGAGAACCTCTCAGGGCCAGCAGAATGGGGAGAGGATGTTAGCTGGCTCTATTCAGGGGAAAGACCCCTTCCTGGGAGAGGCCTGGGAGGGGGAAGTGACACATCAGAGATAGAAACAACAAAATGAGCTTGGGTAGCAAATTGTGTAGGGGGTTCAGGTTTTGCACCTGTTTCAGAAGCCAGGGCACTGTTGAGGGACTCCATAGAAAATGGGGGGTAGTTTGCTTAGGGTGCCTCCTAGAGCTTTGCCAGGTAGGACTCAGGCAGCATCAGACCCACCTTTCCGGAGCGACAGGGACCTGGTAAGAAAACAGTAGTTTCTGTGGACTGTGGCTATCTTCCTGACTCCATATTCTGGGGCCATTTTTAGACTGATGGACTGACATCAGTCTAACCACAGCCAGTGCTTCCGCCCCTTCCCAGGATGGCCGAAAGTTGGGGTCATGCGTGGCCCTTTCCTTTCACTCCTCAAAGGTATGGAGAGGGTTAAACAAGAATGCATACAAAGCATGCAGCACATGACAAATGCAAGTTATGATTCCTTGTAGAATTACACTTCAAATTTATTCATACTCACCTGCAAGAAATGTTTGTCGAACATGATGCGACTGTCACATTGACTTTGTATTGCCTCCTTTCGAGCCATTCTACTTCTGCTGGTTACAAAAAATCTCTTAGTCGTCATCTTTGCTTTTAGCTAAGTTACCTTGTAAACCTGAAGAGACAGGGGTAAGGCTCACTTGGGGCTTAGAGCCCTATGCTCCTGCCAGGGTTTGGATGGCACAGGTTCCCCATGGGTTCTGTCTGAGTGTGGCAGCTGTCTTCTTGCTTAACTCCATTGAGCAAATTCCGAGGTTTAGAATCTTGATCTCAGACCTCTAGAAACCCGTCAGGCCTTTCACATTGCGGAGAACTCAACTGCACTGTCTAAAGGATGGAACTATAGACAGAAATTCAGAGTTTGAGTGGCCATTTCTTTCTGTTCTTCCTTTCTGCCTTCCAACGACCTGGCTTCATCTAAAGGTGGGCTTCCCTCAGACTGACCACCTGGCAGTCCAGTTTCTAGATTCACATCTAGTAGGAGAGACTGGCAGATTCCTGATAGTTCTCTGAGACGAACACTGCTTCCCAGAAGCCTCAATAATCTCATTCACATTCTCCTTAAAGATCAGGTTTTTAGCAACGTCCAATCTATGAAGAACCAGGATCCATAACAGTGAGTGAAAATGTCATTAAAAACAACCTAGAAACCTAAACCCCCATCCTCTATAGTTTATTCAGTACCCAGACTTTAGCTTTTCACAAAATTCCAATGAACCTAGTTACTTGGTTTCCTACGTCATGACAGATGAAAAGCAGTAGGTGAGCAGATCACTCTAGCTTTTAATAAATAGTGGTAACAAGTGACCTAAGAAACCATAAAAAGCAATCTAGAATAATTTATCATGGAGGCAAACGGTCAATAAAGGAATTCTAAACCAGCTCTCTGATCTGCTGGCTTTGGGTCCTTGGCCCGTTAATGGCTTAATAAGCATCTTTGGCACATACCTCACTCACTCAGTTCAACTTCCTTCTCCTTAAAATGGGTTATTGTGACGATTAAGAAAACAATGGAATTGCAATCCTTAAGTGTTAAATGAGCAAACACTTTGGTCGGAAACATACTAAATGTTAACAATTATTAGGAAGATATATGATTAACCCATTTTTTTCTTAAACACTTCTGTTTCCCATAACACATTTTACTTGCCTCATTCCCTTTTTCTTTCCTCTCTTATCAGCCTAGACATCTGGCACATAATGATAGTTCAATACACATTGAATTGAGTCAATTTGGGAAATGACCCAGACTGTAAAGTCCTCTATAAATGGTATTTTTGGCCATAATTAGAAATATATCCTCCATCTGGGGAAACTTCAGAGGAGAAAATGAAGTTCTTTAGATGTCTACTCATACAAGGCTTCAGACCTAAGAATCCGTGTGGCTTGTGATCCAGCTGGCCGGGACAGGTTGAAAACGGAAAAGAGTTTTCTTTGTTGGTTTTGTTCTCTCAACCCACCCCATCTCACCACTGTGAGGCTCTGGCCAAGAGGAGCAACTCATTCAAAAGTTCCTATTTCTACAAATTAAATAAAAACACAATTAAAATTTAGTAGGTGCTAAAACTTGGTTTTGAACTTTTATTAAAAAAATATATTTGCAAACATATAAAATTTAGGATGAAAAATGCTCATTTGAAAACATGTAATAACTTAATATTTGCAAACATACGCAGATGGTATAAAATTCATACCATTAAAAATGTTGATGATGCAGTACTGCGCTCATGGAACAAAAATCTTGCTGTAGTTCCAGAGCTCCTCGTCCCCACACTTCAGGGAGCTGAGGATCTGGTACACTGAAGTCATGAGAGCCACATGTCCAAAGCAGTAATACAGAATAAAAAAACCGTTTAGAACACATATTTCAAAAACACGTTAAGGAATCACACAGATAAAAGAGAAACACAATTTTGCATTTTCCCCAAAGTGAACCATATTGCATCTCAGCATTTCAAATGAAGATATCAAATCAAATACAAAACCAAGTGAAACATTGCACACGTCTTTCCTGCAGAATTTGCTAAAAATACAGGCTCCTCGAGGGCCCAGTCCACTCAGGGAAATGGTCTTAAGCAGTTTTTAAAAAACCTAGAGTAAGCTGCTTTCCTCGGTGCAGATCTTAACATTTTAGACACCTGAAAACACAGGGCACTATTGGTTCCAGAAGGTACTCTGAATACAACCAAAGAAAACCAGATAGGTAAGAAACACGTGCTTAGCAGCAAATGCAGGACACACGTCCCTGTGATTCCTTGTCTTCATTCACAGGGACTGGGCCCACTTGTGCCACCTCTCATTCCTCTCTTTTTACATTTTGCCCAGAGTTACAGTATGATGGCTAATTTTTTTTTTTAAAGCGGTTAGGCACCTTCAATTTCATGTTGCATTATTAGTAATACAATGGCATTATGGCCTCTACCACCGAAATGAGAAAATTTCAAACTATATTTGGGGAAGAAAGTAATAAAGCTGCATGGTTTAAAAATATTTACCTAGAAGAGGATTTAATGGGGTTTAGCATTTTTACCAAAAAAAAGAAGAAAAAGAAAAAGAAAAGGCATTAAAAAGAACAAATGCTTGACATGCAAAATTGGGTCAGACATATCCTAAACTAAGCCTGTGCATCTCCTGGCAGAGAAGGACCCAGGTCAACTTGGGCTCTCTGTGATGATGACCCAAAAGGTACGCCATACACCTTTGAAGGTAAGCTGCGGACATTTACATGCAGACAGCATGAAATGCCTCTCCTGACACCGACAGTCATTCGAAATCTTAGGATTCAAAGTGAATCTTAGGATTCACTTTACCAATCTCAGGAGAGATGCACAGTGAGGAAAGATTCTGACTTAAAGGAACAAGTCTGTCTGCGGGGTGTAGGAGTCCATTCAAAGACATCACATTAACCACAACAGAAGAAGAGCAGTGCTACCCTCTGGGGTTGGGGCTGGGTGCACAGATTGTAGACAGAGTGGCCTAAATGTAGGTCACCTGTTCTGCAAAACCTAGCAAGAAGCATCTCTGTTTTGGTGTCCATTTTGATTCAACTACGGTTTAAAACTAAGGTTCTAGTAAAGACACTGCAGCAATGTAAACATGCAACCTAAGCTAGCATGAGGTTCTGGATAGTGAGCCTGAATGAGGAATAAGGCAACTGAACTGTGACTTTTGGGCCAGGGTCATCCACTGTAACTATCTAGGCTTGGCCTGACATTTCTAGGGACTCATTCTGGCCTAAACTTCCTGGTAATCATGATGATGAACTTCTGGCTTCTGAATTTTAAATAAATGCTTTGAATATATAAAATTGGGAGTTGAAACAGGCTTACCCTTTTCAAGTCTCCATAACTTGGGCACTTAAAAGTTTACTTTTACATTAAGGAAACCCATATTCATTCCTTTGGATTAAAGGGTGAAAATTAAGAGTTGATTACAAACTCTCTTTAGGATATTCTAACTCTCCCATAATATTACACGTACTCAAATCATCATTTCGATTCAAATGTCTATTATAACAAGAATTCCTTGATTCTTCTGTTTAACAAAGCCCACTGAGACCATACTTGGGGTGTTACCAAACCTACCAGTGTGACTGTTTTCTGAGAACCGTCACGAGGCACCTGGACACCATCTCCTGGTGTCAGTAATATTCCATGTCTTACTGTAACTTTCTCTTTCCTGGTGATGCATGAGCAATTCATTTTTGGTTGCTGAATTTACACACTACCTTTGAAAACAAACTATTCCTAACTGAATATGAGAACTTATAAGCTTCCCTGACTTCTGCACAATTCACGAATAACTAGGTAGATAGCAATAAGACACTAAATTGAGAAGCAGAAAAGTTGCCCAGGAAGCATGTTTAGATCAACAAAAGCCAATCAAGCATTCTTTATGCTAAAAAGCTAAGAACAAAGTAAAATAAGTATGTAATTCACAAGTAATTTTCTAAAATCTCAGCTAGAAAAAAAAAAAAATCTATGGACTTATGATTGAGTTACCATTAAAGCTTAAATGATTGTTCCTGAAGAACCATCACATCTGTCAGCATTATTCACAGCTAATCCTTATGCTAGCTGGTTGAGCCATTTGGGTTTTTACCCATTCATTAAATAGTGCTCAGAAAAGTAAGCAGTGCATCTTAATTGGTTAAATATTACAAAATGACCTGTATCATAGAAACGAAGACACTTTCATTCAAAGAATATCTTAAAATTACTATTGTTGAAATAAATCAGAATCTACATTAAAATATTACTAATCACCATTACATGCCGTAAAAGAATAAATATAAATCATGGCAGGTTAATAGCAGCATAACAAAGCATCTTTACATATTTTCATACTTTGGGCTGCAAAAGTACTCACAGCCGAGGAATACATTGGTAAAGTTCTGAATTTCACTTTGTTTTTAACCCCATATTCTACAATAAAGTAAGGGCAGTGTGAATAACGGCTCCCTTTTCTGCATAGCTTTAAAACTATTCTCAGTAGACTCGGGAGTGGAACCAGAATGGCTTTGTTGGATTGGTCCACTGGTCCTTTTGTCAAAGAGTTAAGAAAAACAATCAACAATGACTTCTGTGTTCAGACAGAAAAGGAAAATAAGGCTATGCTTCACACACAAATGTAACATTTCAAAACCACTGGAGAGTTTAACTTAAAGATTTGACAGAATTGGAGCTTCGCTAGTCCCAGCCTTTGCTTCAAAGGTGTGACAGGCCTGCTCCCACACTATCATAGGGCCCGACAGGGCCCTATTCAAATGATCACTGTGCTGGGAGCCTGCTGCACGGCAGCACTGGGAACACTTAAAACACAATTAAGAAATTTTCAGAACTTTAAAGGCCCAAATGGGGCATTCATATAAAATATACTCCACTTGAATAATTCAGTCCTAATGTGCCAACTTGAACTCTAACCCTTAAAACTTGAAGCTACTTTGCACAGGGCTGACTTCTGTTCAGAACTTGACTATCAGCCTAATGCTCAAGTTTACAGGGGAGAGGTGGGGAAAGGGTACAAGCTGGGCTGAACTCTGACTGCTGCAAGGCTGGTGACACTTTCTCCTTAAGACCTTGAAAGTGAAAGCAGCTAAAAATCAAGATTCCTTATTTCACATACTTGCTTACAGCTGATGAAAACACCCACACAACTTAACATAATGGTTTTTTTTTTTGTTTTTTTGTTTTGTCAAAACAAAGGTCTGCTGGTGATGCTTCACAGTGAAACCTCCATTATCACTGAGAACGTCACTTGGAAAACATTCTTAAGGAACGAGTCTCTTTCTCATAGGCTCAATTTCAGGATTCTCAAAACTGAATGTTCTGTTTAGAATTTTCCATGATGAGGCCTATCTGTTCTGAGGCTGACATTCTGTGTTCGGACTGATTTCTGTTCCAGTCATAGGTTGTGGTTGTCTTTGTTCTTGGTCAGAACCTGCAAGTAGACTTCATGAAGCGTACTGAGGAAGCTGGAATCATTCTGGAAGAGACGGTAATGTCCCAGTTATGTCCTTGATAACAGCTTAGGAAAAAAGCTGGACGAATGATTTGTATAACTAATTACCCAAAGAATTTGATCACCCAGAAACCATGATGATTAACATTTTGAAATTCACTCAGATAGTTTTCCACCAGGAGTATGCGCTCAGTAAGAAACATTACTCCCAGCTAGTCTTGAATTTACTTTATGAACTAATTTCTAAGAACTTATAAAATTTTTTTTAAATGAAAGAATGAAACTTCAAAAACTAATTTGTATCCTACGTACCTTTATTAGATGTATTAATGTATCTTGGAGCTGAGACTTGCTGAGAATAATGGAAGGCTTTCGCTGATTTTCTGAGGTTCCAACAGTTAGAGGAGAAGGGGAGCCTGCTTTCCTTTCAAGGTCTGTGGACCTTGTAACTGTCTGCTGGAAAACACTCGGGGACAGCAGGACTGAAGACACAGCCGTGGTTGTTGCAGTAGCCAGTGGGGGGCCTGCAACCTGCAGGGGAAGAATGGTCATTTTGTACCAAAGTGCAGAAGCTAGCAGCCAGGCCCAAGGTAAGAAACACCTGATGATGTGATAAGCAGTAGGAGACTTGAGCAGAGTCTAACGCTAACTATTTGGGGTTCAGATAAACATTCAGTAGAAGCATTTGAGCATTTTACATCTGGTTAGGAAGCTTGTTAGCTAAAGAATGAAGAGCCCGTTTATATGATAAGAATGCCCTAGAGTTGTATGGGAAGCCAAGTCTGATCTTCACAGAAGGAGAATATGATAAATAACAGCATGGTATGCACAATAATAACAATTCTATGAGAAATTTAAAATGTAAAGTTTTTATATGGGTGGTAGGGAAATAACTAAAGAGGCATAAGGGAACTTTCTGGGGTGATTGAAATGTTACGTATCTTGATTGGGTGGTTACTCAAGGGATATACATACATGTGTGGGAAACACAAAAATCTGCATTTTATTACATGTAAATTTTATTTCAATAGAAAGAATAAAAAAATCCAATGATATGAAGAATTAGTTTCTTTTGTATTGTTCAATATATTAACTAAACCATTTTAGGTATTAAAAAGATACAATTTCTTAAAAATAAAACTAACATCTACCTCCTTCCCCTATTTAGATGTGCTTTTAGGCTAACAATGGCCAACTATCAGAACACACTAAACCAGTAATAATCAGTATTTTTAATAATTCTCACATATGATACAACCAACAGAGATCTGTACCTCTCTTTCTCCTTGTCACCCTCATTTACAATACCAGGATAAGAACTTCTGCTAAGATCACCAGGTAGCAGGACAAGCTACAGAAAACGCTGGTTAACAAGATCAGTCAGAAGCTGGCTTTAAATTCTGAGACTTGA